TGACCAACATTGTTTATTATTCCAAGATTAAAACTACTAATTAGCAGCCTAGTTAAAAATCATTGTGCGTGTGGCATTGTGGCTCAGGTGGTAGAGCCTTTAGGAAAAAGAGGCTCAGGAACTGCTCCTAGGCCCTGAATTCAAGCCCCACAACCGACAAGAAAAAGACAGCAAAAATCAAGTGTGAATTACTTCCTTGCTTAATGTTTTTAATTATTTAAAATACACTAATTTTGAAAACATCACTATGCTGATGAAAAGTTAATATTGAACTGAGAAATTGATAGCGACTGTTACTATTTTTTGTGTTTAAAAGTAAATAACCTATCCCATAATTTTCCTCAGATTTACATGCAAACAGCCCTTTAGATGATAGACTTTGCTTGAAATATTTATTTATTATTTTAAGAATGTTTTGAAATTATTTTAAATCTTTTTCTAGAAATAAACATTTCAATTAGTGTTTTTATTTAGATAATTTTATTCACAATATTTAGGGATAAACTTTTACCTTTTAATTATGTATTTGAAGTCCACATTGAAATTGCAAATATCATTTTTATACATTTCAAATTAAAATATGCATTTGAAAAATCATAAATTTAAAATGTATTTTGCTATCTAAATAGTTGTTTTTTTCATGTTTGTAAAAAATATTATTGTTGTATTTTTTGAATGTGGTGGATTTACCAGAAGTAAATATAGTTTTGAAAAGCACATTCTGACAATTGTTTGACTCAAAAAGTAGTGTTACATGGCACAAATATTATTTCTATGAGTAAAAAAAGTATATGTTGAAGTATTTATATGGTTCTCTAGATGATTTATATTTTATGACTAATTCTTTTCATACTGACAGGTTGATTGTGAGCACTGTGTTTTTCTACACATACAAACAATTTCAGCTTCCTGTATTTCAAATTTTGTCATGGTAGAGTGAGAAAGAGTTGAGTACTGAGCTTAAAAGCAGCTAATCATCTCCCCTACCTCCCTATCCTTGCAATGAAATGGCAAGAGCAAAGGTAGTGGAAGTTCTGGCAGACCACGTGTTACTGTTGATTTAAGTACAAACAGTGGTGGAAGTGTTTAATCCTTAGGGAAATTATGCCATTCAACAAAAATGCTGAAGTTATTTTGATAAGAAAATATAGTAATGGCCAAAACTATGATCAGTACTGACCTAAGCGGGGCAAGGATGAAGGGCTGCAGTGTTTGCTCTTCCTGATGAACAAAGATAAATTCACCTAGAAGAAGAAATTAAGTATTTTGGTCAATTTGCAACAAAATGGTGAATGAGCTGTTTATTTTAGAGCTAAGCAGAAAGTTGTGGGAAAGTAGTTTTTCATTTCCATTTCTGGCCTGATTTCTACTATAGATTTGGAAGAGAATACAAAGCTGTTTAACATACTACAAATGAAACTTCAATAGGGCTTATTAAATATGAACCTATATTTCTTAGCATTTTATTTTGTATACCCAGTAGCACCAGAGATGCTGTTTTTTCTGAGGTTTTTCCATACTTGACATATATTCCTCTAATTGTTGAAAGAATATAATTTATTTATGCTTCTGCTCTGAGACTCTATCAAGAAATGTATTCATACCTTCTTTTGTTTCCTTTTATTTAAAAATACAATCATTTTCTAGAATTTTTCATTAGATGTTACAGCCTACCAAACTATATTTTTTTTATCTTCTCAAGTTCTAGGAATTTCAATTATAGCAGATTTAGGACTACCTATTCTAGAGAAGCATTTATATGAAACATCAACAAAGATCAAGCTATTTGTTTTACTTATATAGCTGGGATAAGAAATGAATGTACTATTGGTCTCTCTCTATCTCTGTCCTTCCTTCCCTCCGTCTATTACTCACCTGATCCTTCCCCCATTTTCCTCCCTCACTCCCTCTTCATTTTTTTTTTCTTTTGGTCTCATAGCCCAATCTAGCCTTGAACTGTATATTCTGCTGTCTCTATCTCCTAAAGACTAGGATTCTAGACATATACTACCACACATAACTAATTTTCTGGCATAGTAAATTACCTGACTCTAGTACTTACTTTGTGTCTACATGTGCCTATAATAAACAGATGTCATTCTTTGGAAATCTTCATTTTGTCCTGTTTCTTTTTGGGGATTCAGGGAATTTGACTTTTCTTCTGATTAGAAACATGTTATATGCTGATGTTTAACAAGGGATGACACACACCTGTAATATTAGTATTAGGGAGACAGATTAGGAGGATAAAGAATTCAAGACCAACTTGGACTACATAGTGAGAAACTGTATCAAAAAAAACAAAAACACTTAAGACCACAACCAAAGTGTCATACCTAAACTGAATATTATTCTTGACTGGATAGCATGTCTTTGCCAGGGTTATTTTGTACATATTATTTATTTTTCTTATTTTTGGTTATTTAGGCTAATGAAATTAGTAACTTCTTTGATGAATTATTCATAGAAAATTGCATACATACCTTGTTATATGTCTTATTAAAATTTTGACTAATATTTTCCTCTGACTCTGGCCTACTGGTTATAAATACTTAGCAAAGAACATTTTGTTTGAGATACTTAAAACACCAGTGACCTTTGTTGAATGGCAACTCCTTTGTGCAACTACTTAAAGATAATAAAAATATTTAATTAAAAAAACTAGAGAACCGTTAGAGTCTAGGATACATACCAAATGGAAATATTTGTGAAGTTAGATGACCAAATGAGAAAGACAGCAGGAATACTGAATTTTATATGTTAATATATACCTCTCTTGTTCTCTCTCTTTCACTTTATACTTCAGTATAATGCTCTTTTTCAAACTTAACACTAAGAAACAAATATCATTATTATAACCATATTATAACCCAAAAGAAAACAAAGGACATCTTCTTCATTTGTTTATCATTTTTAGATGACTATATATTCTTTACCTCATATATGGTTTATACTCATGCACATCTGAAGGAAGCTGGGAGGGGAGGGCACAGAGTCATTGGAAAGCAGGTGAAAAAGTACAGTAGAGGGGCCTATCAGCTGTACTGGACATTGATGAAAGTGAAATAAGCAATTCAAGAGCGGTGATGGGAGAGAGGGACTGGGAGAGAAAGAGGAAACAGCAGATACTAAGCAGAAGGAAAGAAATGTATGTATCACCTGATCTGGAAGAAATAGTATTATTGTTAATTTTCACATAGTTCATAAACTTTGTAGATTAGAATGACAATGATTAACCTGTGAAGGTTAAAATGTGTTTGTGACTTTAGCTAAATATAACCACACCACAGTACTGTGAAATTTATGTAATTAATCTCAATAAAGTCATCTTTGGGGAGGGGAACCATATTTCAAAGAAGGTATTGGACTGTGAAGTTAAATTATTTGCATAAAATCACATGGCTGGCGTCTCATCCTACCAAATCATACTGCTTGTTAGTCTAAGCTTAATTAAATATGTGTAACTAATGCTAAGACTAATATCCTTTGTTATATTTGATTTGGTCTTGCAGTTTTTGGGTTTATTTTCAGATTATAAAAGAACAGCAAAGTTTGGAATTAAAAAAAAATCTAAATGCTTGATAGTTAATTTTAACATATCAAGGAATGATCGCTGTCTTTAGCACTGTCAACCTGAATTTGAAACTAAAGCTATTCAACCATAGTTTTGACTTCAAATAAAATGGTTTATTTTACTCTGAACTATTAAAAGCTATCAAAAAGACCAAGAAACCTTTGACACCATGTTTGATAGCACTAAATTAGGACCTTATACATGTTTTAAGTTAATATTGACTCAAATGAATTTATGCCTTATTCTCCTAAGTTTTAATCATATGGAACAGTTTAGTAATCACTGTCAGCTATACATAAGTTAATATTATTGACTCAAATGAATTCATGCTTTATTCTCCTAAGTTTTAATCATGTGGAACATTTTACTAAGCATTGTCAACTATACTTAATATTAATGTCTCCTTTCCTTATATTACAATGTGTAAGCCATGAGCTGGGAAGGTTCCTCAGTGGTAGAGTGATTGCCTTGCATGCATGAGGCCCTGGGTTCAATTCCTCAGCACCATATAAGCAGAAAAAGCTGGAAGTGGTGCTGTGGCTCCAGTGGTAGAGCACTAGCCTTGAGCTAAAGAGCTGAGGGACGGTGCCCAGGCCCAGAGTTCAGGCCCCACGTCCGACACACACACAAAAGTAAGCCATTATTAATTGTTTTGTTATACTAATAATTTTGCTATGGTTATTACAGATTCATTCACAAATACTTTACATTATAAATAAACATTTTTTCCGTAAAAGATAGTAAAAATTGTAGCCTTTATACATCACAGCTACTGTGTTAGCTATTTGACTCTGTTCAAAAAGCAGTCATAGACAGTAACTAATGAATGTAACTGACATCTTCTAAAAGCTTATTCCCCAAGACAACTGAATTTTGTCCTTGGCTATAGTTTATACACCCTTGTTCTGTAAGAAAGTTATTATTAGTGTGCATCCTAAGTTATTCAAGGTGTTTTGGACTTTTAGAGAAAACTGAATATCAAACATGTACATTGTAACTATATAAACCATTTGAGTAGACAGCTTTGTGCCTTATATATATGTGTGTGTGTGTGTATATATATATATATATAATTACATACATTGTAGAAAGTTAAAATATATAAAATTATAAATTTTAAATTATAGTTTTAGTGGCTAGGCACTGGTGGCTCACACCTGTAATCCTAGCTCCTCAGGAGGTTAAGATCTGAGTGAGGATCGTGGTTCAAAGCCAGGACGGGAAGGAAAGTCCATGAGACTCTTATCTCCAATAAACCACCAGAAAACTGGAAGTGGTGCTGTGGCTTACCTTTTGCTGAAGAGCTCAGGGACAACATTCAGGCTCAGAGTTTAACCCTACAACTGACCAAATATATATATATATATAATTTTTAGTTACTTTTCCTTAAGCTACAAGTCTTATCCCCATCTCCTTTTTTCCTCAGGGTGATTCTATCCAAGCAGGCGATGATTCACCATTCTCAGATTCTGTTACCTTGGAACAAACTACTAGTAACATTGGTGGATCCAGTGGTCGTGTTAGTCTCTGGATGCAGTGGGTGCTCCCTAAAATTACTATAAAGCTCTTTGCTCCAGACCCTGAAAAGAAAAACACAGGTAGGGGAGAACTTTTCTTCTCTATTGGAATGATCAAATATTAAGCACTACATTTATAAGAACCATATACTTAAGTTTGTTTATTGTCATTTATAATTCACTAGACACATCATTATGCCTAATTCAAGTTTTTCAATTTGTGGTGATAACTAAGGTTTATGAGTACATATTTTCTTTCATTTTATAGTACCTCCATTTTGCTTGTTGTATTAAGATGTACACTAATAGCCATGGGATAATTATATCACTATCATTAATAATACTGTAAAGATCCTTGACTGATGTTGGATTTAGCACCTTAAACATTGATTGACTTTTTCCTATATTGAAATAGATGACTTAGCTTAATTTTAAAGCTTATTGATATATACTTGATTATAGAAATATGTATAGTCTCTTGCTTCTGTAGATATTAAGGATGTATGTGCCAATGTGAAATAAGAAGTTTACTATTTGTTATGAGAGTCTATATTTATACAGTATTTTCTTCTTTTTGCAGAGGTTTGTATGGTCAGTGAGCTAGAAGATCTCAGTGCTTCCATAGATGTGCAGGATGTATATACCAAAGTGAAATGTAAAATAGAGAGTTTCAATATTGATCACTATAGAAGCAGGTAAATAAGGAATACAGAAAAATATGTTCTTTGAACAAAGTGACTAAGAATTTTTCTATTTAAGTTTGGCAATTTTTATTACTTTATTTTTAAAGGGGGGCTATTAACAGATGAATTGTTAATTTTTACTTAATATTTATATGGGGTATGATAATATTGTGTTTTGTAAGAGGACATGAATCTACATAAATAACTTTGCCATATTAAATGAAATAAGTTAGATACCTTAACACAACTTATTATATGTATTATATATTTTCTATCATGTCTGGAACTTATTTAACAGTTCTGTTGTGTACCTCTATTCATTTCTTATATAATCTCCACTAAGGTAGAGCAACTTCTCACATCCTTTAGCACTTCGACAACTCTTGTACCATTGATATTCATGTGGTGAATATTCCTAGTATGGCAATGTTCCTTCCCTAATAAACTTTCATCTGAGGTAGATTATATGCAAATATGTGCTACAGAGGCCCATTTGTTTCTGCATGTGGCCTAAAAATATTTTTCTAAACATTTTCTAATTCTAATTTAAAACCATCTAAATTTTGTTATCATGTATGTCCCATTGTTTATACCAATAATTTCCAAGTCTTTGAAACTGAAAAATGTCGTAACTTTCATGTAGAAAATATTTTGCTAAATGTATATTCTTATATTACTGAGTATGATTTTTTTGTCATAGAAATAGGAAATTAATTAATTGAATTTTGATGGTTATCTCTTGTGTCTCTTTCCCGTGATAGTTATCTATACCAAAACTATCTTTTAAAGCGATATAAAAATACAGTATTAGAACTGAAGTTTAAAGTTCCAAGCTTACAGGAGGGGTAATAATGCTCGATAGGAAGTGTACTCATTACCTTACTCATGTAACTGTAACCCCTCTGTACAGTATCTTTACAATAATTTTTTTTAAGTTCTAAGCTTACTATAAATTAAGGTTTAAATAGTTAATTTTGAGTTTGAGTATACATTATGTGCCAAACGCTATAGTAAGCACACTGGATTAATGTGAATAGGCATAAATTCTACTTTATGGACCTTAAAAGCTTATGAATGAGCTAGAAATAGTTGATAGAAATTATCACTAACCACATGCATCATTTATAATTTGTGATTAGGGGAAATGCTTCTATGCAGAACTATCAGTGGGTGGTGCTAATGTTGAGTGGTTCTATCCATTGCATTGTTTCATCCATGTTTTAGTTTAGTATAGCACTGTAAACTTTAGAACTATTGGGTAGTTGTTGATGCTCAATTTTTTAACTTGGAGAAACTGAAGAGAACAGATAAGGTAAACTTATGTTTTCCAGGCCAGGGGAAGGTTGGCAGTCAGGACATTTTGAAGGAGTATTTCTGCAGTGCAAAGAAAAACCTGTGGTGAGACTCATTTAGTAATTACAATTGTTAAAAGTACATTTTAAATTGTTTGTCTTTGTTATTTCACTAATAGAACTATTGGTTACAAGATAGAATTAGACCTCAGCATATAAATTCTTTTTACTCCTTCCATAATTTGTTATAAATTTAAAGCTACTTTTAATCTGCTCATGTTTTGTAACCATCTTCCTTTATAGCAGTTAAGTAAATCTATCAAAAACACAAAGGTAGGACTTTTATTAGTAAACTTTATATTCAGTGTATTGTTATAGTGACTTTTTGAAAGATTTTTGCCTTCACAAGTGAGTTTATGTTTTATTGTATTTTCCCACTAAATAAAAGTAATATACACTAAAAGCAATTTTTTTTTCTTTACTTCCATTCGCAATGCTTTTGCAGATGGTGGTTCAGACAAAGGGCCAAATCTAGTAATGGCTCAGACCTAAACCTGTACAAACTTGAGCAGAATTAAAATCTATCCAATTTTTTTTTTGCTTATGCCTTTTATTGCTTTTTGTCTTTTCACCTTCTTTGCTCCTGTCCATCACCTCAAGCCTTGGGGAAGAGTGTTGGTCTTTGGGGCAATGTGGAGGTGTCTTCCTTTCCTGTACTGACAAGCTGAACAGACGCACCTTGTTGGTTCGACCCATCAGCAAGCAGGACCCTTTCAGTAATTGCTCTGGCATCTTTCCTTCTGTAAGAAATCATTTTAAAATTATACTACAGAACATCCCTAACAGGAATCCAGAGAGAGAATTATACTATCCACAGAGTCAACTCTTGGTTATCATTTCCCTTCATTTCATTCACTTCAGAAATGATCTAAAAAATGTATTTTTACATCATAAATTGGTTTTCCACTACAATCTATTTCTGAATCAATTGTAAATACTAATATCATTTTGGGTTTATAAACACTGACCAATTTTACCATCACCATAAGAAAATCACAGTAAGATGTTAAATATTATGTTTCCAATACTATACATATAGTGAATGATCAAGAGTTGACTGGTAACTGCATTTGTCATTCCTTTTGTGATTCTTGCTGAGATTGCTTTATAATTATTATTATTTCTATTATGTCATTATCTTTTTCTTGCAACTAATTCAGGATCTTATGTAATGCTCTCTTAGACAAATTGGTACTTATGTCATTTACTGATACAGACCTTTATAACATGACTTAGAAATTTAAAGCCAACATTTTCTAGTGGTAAAACACATGTTCTTAAAATAAGTATTTTAAGTGACATTTTAGGTAATTAAAAAGCACAAAAATTTTCAGTATTAAGAGCAGATAATACTGTTACTGTTGAAAAATAATTAAATTACTAGAAACATTACTTTATTCCAATTACCTATTTCTTTTCTTATTTATACCTTGAAAAAGATTTAAAACATATATTTTAACATGAAAAATATTGTAAATTATTTTCTTTTTAAAACAAATTTTAATGTTTAAAGGGTTATTTTTCTCATTTGATTTTGGACTTTTCCTTGTAGTCTCTTTTTGTACTAGAAAAATATGTATCTGTCAATGTGAGTTCTGTTTAGGTTACTTTTTTATGTTATTAAAGACTATGAAAAACAATTAAATATCTTTAGAGGAAAAAGCATAACTCATTGTTAATTCCTGTAGAGATTCCTTTATAATTTCTTGTAAATTTTAAAACTCAAATACATTTTATCAAGCTCTCTTTAATTATCAGTGTTTTAATCCTTTCATTTTAAACAGCAGAAAACATTATTACTGTATGAAAAGTAACAATTTTTATTCTATCAATGATCTGGGTTTATTTCTTCCCTTAGATTGAAGGAGTTAGTGATGCAGCCATTTAAAAATGAACACCTTCATGTTTTTCAAGTCTCATATTTTTCAAGTCTTATATTTAATATGTTTAAAATACTTTTTTGGGGGCGGGGGTCCGGTCATGGGGCCTGAACTCTGGGCCTGGGCACTATCCCTCAGCTCTTCAGCTCAAGGCTAGCGCTCTACTACCTGAGCCAGAGCACCACTTCCGGCTTTTTTTCTTTTTGCTTATATGGTGCTGAGGAATCAAACCCAGGGCCTCAGGCATGCAAGGCAAGCGCTTTACCACTGAGCCACCTTCCTAGCTCATTATGTTTAAAATACTTAAATTGAAATATTTATACATTGATGTACGTTTTGTACTGTTTCCGTGGCTCAAGTGTTATTACTCATAACTATTTTGGGTTATTTAACTTATTGGTGACTAGTACTTCTTTCTTCAAAGTACACTTTAGACACTTAGAAAGGGGAGGTATTACTGTGGCATCATAACTGGGGCTATACCACAGTCATCCTCCATCTGCTGTTGCCTGCTAACCAGCAACATGGTGGCAATGGTAGTAATAATTTTTCTTGCTTTACTGTGCTTCTTTTTGTTTCATGTGAAACAGAAATGAGAACCCAGAAACAGTGTGAAATTGGAAATAATGAAAAGTGTTCTGAGGGTAAATCATTATGGGAAAAATATTCTATTGCAAGGATTTTTAATCATTAAACCATTAAATTGAAAAGAAACAATGATTTTTTTTTTTACTTTTTTATGTTTTTATTTTTGCCAGTCCTGGGGCTTGCATTCTGAGCCTGGGCACTGTCCCTGAACTTCTTTTGCTCAAGGCTAGCACTATACCACTTGAGCCACAGTGCCACTTTCACCTTTTTTGTTTATGTGGTACTGAGAAATTGAACCCAGGGCTTCTTGCATGCTAGGCAAGTACTCTAGCACTAAGCCCCATTTCCAGCCCCAAAACAGTGATCTTTTAAGAAAGTTTTTTGTTCTTACTTTTCTTCATTGTAATGTCCACATGTAAAGAAACATTGATAACTGAGATGTGTACTTTTTCCCACTTACACTGTCATTTGGTTACTGTGACATTGGTTTTACTCTTCAACATGAGAGAATGGAAGTAGAAGAAAAGGAAGTTTTGGAGTGATGGGATTACAGGCTCAGAAATATCCTGGCTTTGTTACTTCTTATATTCAGTTGATCTGAATATATGACATTGTTTTCTTTTTTCCTAGTTTAGTTACTCTCAAAAAACCATTTATTATATCCTAATAAATATGAAACTTTTTTCAGGTATTGGGAAGTTAGAGTGGGAATATCTGTTCTACTCTTAATTTTATATTGAGTAATTTGTGCAGTAGAATTCTATCACTAATTTGACCTGAAATTTTCTTTACAAGAGCATTCCTATCAGGTTATTCTAATGATCACAGAAGTTTTTTTTCCCCCATATTTGCTGAATTGATCAGTCACGTATTAAGAAATATAGGATGGAGCCAGACATGGTAAAAATACATCTATAATCCCAGCTACTACAGATATAGATTCATCACAAGTAAGGTGAGGCCAAGCAAAATTAGGGTGCCGTTAGCTCAGAAACAATATTCCAACAGGACTGGGAGTGTGGCTCAAGTGTGCCAGGTTCTGGGTTCAATCTCCAGTACTGCAGAGATAAAAAAAATGGGGAATGAGTAAGATTATAAGGTTAAAATATAAAAGTAACTTTTCTCCTTTTGAATACTTATTTCCTTTTTTTGAATGAATTGTCTATTGTGATTTCCATTTTCTTAACAGACAACTACAAAACTTCTAGATGGCACTCATCAGCAGCATGGATTTCTATCTTTGACATATACAAAAGCCGTAACAAAAAATGTCCGCCATAAATTAATATCAAGAAATGAGCGAAGAAGTTTTCATAAGTTCTCTGAAGGTTTGACAGATGGTTCTCCTCATTTTCTTCATGAAATTCTTCTTTCAGCACAAGCCTTTGATATTGTCCTTTGTTTTCCTTTACTAAATGCCATTGCAAGTATATTTCAAGCCAAACTACCAAGGACCCAAAAAGAGAAAAGAAAATCTTCTGGTCAGCCTATGAGGACTCATACATTGACTTCACATAATTTACCTTTGATTTATATAAACACAAGTGTAATCAGAATTTTTTTCCCCAAAACAGAAGAAATACAGTCAACTGTTGGAGGTATTGTCTTTTGTTCTTTTCTGTTTTGCCTTGAAATAATTTCTTTTTCATAAATCTTAGTTTTCTGGGTGTTGTTTATTTACTACTAGGAGGTTATTTGCAGACCTTTAGAAAATGGAATGTTTTAGAAAGGGACCATAATAGTTACTTTATAATCAAATCTGTATAAATTATATCCAGACACTATCTGGCTCCAGTAATTAAAAGAGTAAGAAATCTGACCTTAACTTTGACTATTACAGCTGCTGTATATGTTCTGTTACTGAGGCTTGAACTCAGTACTTTTTTTAAAGTATATGTTTTTTATTGTAAAGATACTGTACAGAGGGGTTACAGTTACATGAGTAAGGTAATGAGGACATTTCCTATCGAGCATTGTTACCTCCTCCTTTGTTTTCCCCTACCATATCTTCCCTCGCCACCTCCTCACCCCTTCCCTCTTCTGTCCCCCGAAGTTGTGAAGTTTGTTTTTAACACAGTGTCTTGTACATCTCATTGTTACAATGGGTCAACCTGTATCCTTATTTCAGCATTTTGTTATTTCCCTTTCCCTTCCCAAATTAGAAAAATGTGCATACAAGATGCAGGGCACCACAATCAAATACATTGAAAATGGGTTATACCATGGGCAAGAACATACAAAAGAAACAAATCACATAGTATATTGTAAGTACATTAAAAACAACAGCAAGAAAGATAAAACCTCTTGTGTCCCTATCGTGGGGTTTATTTCACTTAGCATCATCTTATATGGTCATATATACAAAGCTTTTGACCTTTTCTGCTTGCCCTAGACATAATTAGTTATTGCAAATAAGGGAAACCATGGGACCTACATTTCTTGGGCTTGGCTTACTTCACTTAATATAATTTTTTCCAAGTCTTTCCATTTCCTAACAAATGGGGCAGTATCATTCTTTCTGATGGAGGGAGAGAGATTCCAATATATATATATATATATATATATATATATATATGGAATCATATATATCACATACATATATATATATATATGTATCACATTTTCTTGATACATTCATCTACTGAAGGGCATCTTGGTTGGTTCCATATCTTAGCTATGGTGAATAATGCTGGGATAAATATAGTTGTGCTGGTAGCTTTAGTATAGCCTTGTTTGTAATCATTTGGGTAAATGCCCAGAAGTGAGATTGCTGGGTCACAGGGGAGCTCTACGTGCAGTCTTTTGAGGAACCTGCATACCACTTTCCAAAGTGGTTGAACAAGTTTACACTCCCACCAACAATGCAGTAGGGTTCCCTTTTGGTCACAGCTCTTGAACTCAGGACTTCGCACTCAGCCTTTCACTTAAATCTAATACTTTACCACTTGAGTCACACCTGCACTGCTGTCTCTTTAATTGGAGATAAGAGTCTCTTGCATTTGTCTATATGGGCTGGCTTTGAATTCTGATCCTCAGATCTCAGCCTCCTGATTGTCTAGAATTACAGATAAGAGCCACTGGTGCTCAGCATAAAATTCACACTTTCAGTTGACCTAGTAGAGTGGTTCAAGGGATTGAAAGCCTGACTAGCAAACCAGATCCTGATTTCAAAACCCATTTCCAACAAAACACAACTATTGGATTGTATATATTAAGATAATTGAAATTTGTTTTAAAATAAAATAGTGCTACAATAGCATGCAAGTTCTCTGATAAATATTTACCTGGTGACTAAGGATTAGAAAATGTTACTCAACAGATTACTCATCAGCCTTCTCAGTGTTTATGAAATTATTCTGTTTTTACTTGATTAGGGTTGATAATACCAGTTTCTTTTCCTAGAAAAGTGATTTCAAGCATTTTCTTTTCTTATACATTGAAATAGTTGTTAATCAAATGGACTTTGAACTTACTCAGGCTTGAGTTCAGATCTTAATGTTATCATTAATTATTTTGAAATCTAGAGAGTGTTCATCTAAATTCTATGAATAAAATAGTAATTGTAATTACTAGCTAATAGTAAGCTTATTAATACCTTTTTTATATGACACTTGGAGTCTAGGTGCATAGTGACAGTCCCGTAATGAATGCTAAATGAATGTGGTTATTCTAATGACAAAGTTATATTCCTAAAATTAAAGTAGAATTCTGAATAACTTTTTTTTTGGGGGTCTGGTTGTGGGGCCTGAACTCTGGACCTGGGTGCTGTCCCTTAGCTCTTCAGCTCCAGGCTAGCACTCTACCACTTGAGCCACAGCGCTACTTCCGGCTTTTTTTTTCTGCTTATGTGGTGCTGAGGAATCAAACCCAGGAGCTCAAGCATGCAAGGCAAGCGCTCTACCACTGAGCCACCTTCCCAGCCTAGAATTCTGAATATCTTACATTTTGATATCACATATACCACATTGGCCAAATTTTAACCGTGTCATTTGGTTCTTCTACAAAGGAAGTTGAGATAAAGTCTTTCATTATAAGCCTGTTCCTGTGAGCATACAAATAATGAAAAAAAATTACAATGCTTCCCAGATTAGATAATTCATTAGCAATAAAAATTTGTTTAACACAGTTCTGCGTTAGATAAAAGTACCGTGAGATTCACTGTCCGAAGAGGGAATTTCTCTCATTCTGAGCTGGCACCTTATCACTGTGTCCTCACATGTCTAGAGACTGGAAATGCAGAACGGGATAAATCCACTCACGAATGTTTTGTATATGAGGATGGAGTTCTTATGGCCCAATTATTTCCCAAAGAACACATTTCTTAAATCCATCAATTTGGAATTTTAGCTGTTACATATACATTTGGGGAGGGACAAGTATGTTTTAAATAATAGCATATGCAAGGTAATAATTCAGACCCTATAAATTTGAGTTATGTTTATTTGAAGGTCAGGTAATAATCTATACCACATAAATGAAGTAGCATTGTTTTCATATTTTGTTCTTGAAATCATTAGTTTGAGAGGAAGACCTTGAATATTATTGATGATAAATAACAAAGGAAAAGCCCCTGGCTTCATTTTCTTTCTTCTTAAAATATAATTCTTTCTACCTACCATTAATGCATTATCGTAGTTGAGGAAGGTTTTCTGCCTCTGTTAATTTTTAAAGTTTATTAAAAGACTGATTTTAGAGTTAAAAAGATGTTCACAGAGCTTTATAGACTTTAATTGCCATGGTGTCTAGAGTTTTATTCAATATGTTATCCTTATGGATTTTTTTTGTATGGGTACCAGGACTTGAACTTGGGCTCTGGAACTGTTGCTTGGCTTTCTTTGCTCGTAACTGGCCCTTTACCATTTGAACCACACCTATATTCCAGCATTTTTCTGGTTAATTATAATGGTATCTTGCTTTTGCCTGGGTTGACGTCCAACCATAATTGTCCATGTCTCAACCTCCTCAGTAGCTAGGATTAAAGGTATGAGCTTACTTATGGATACTCAGTGCTTGCTGATTCCTTCATTTTATATCTAACTTTTGTCAGGGACTGTATTAAGGTTGAATCTGCTTTGAGATGTGAAATTATTATTATTTTCTGAATATGCTATATTCTGTCAGTTTTACTCGTTTGCTTTCTTCTGTTCAGTTAGTTAATAGAAACACATGCATGGTAAAAATAATAATTAGGAACTCCTGTTTTTGAGCAATTCCAAATGATTTAAGGCACAGATTGTTAGCCAGAAAGTAAAAACAGAATATTGCAGATAAAGTAACCTTTATATGTTTGCTATTGTTTTTTTAATGTATTTATTTTTTATTGTGAAAAAACTGTACAGAGGGGATACAATTACATGGGCAAGATAATGAGTACATTTCTTTTTTTTTGGGGGGGGGTCCAGTCGTGGGGCCTGAACTCTGGGCCTGGGCTCTGTCCCTCAGCAGTTCAGCTCAAGGCTAGCGCTCTACCACTTGAGCCACAGCGCCACTTCCGGCTTTTTTCTTTTTGCTTATGTGGTGCTGAGGAATCGAACCCAGGGCCTCCAGCATGCAAGGCAAGTGCTCTACCACTGAGCCACCTTCCCAGCCCAATGAGTACATTTCTTATCAAGTATTGTAGCCTCCTTCTTTGTTTCCCCTTCCCATCCCTTCCAAGCCTCCCCCCAACCTTATCCTCCCCGCCCCCACCAAAGTTGTAAAGTTCGCTTTCAACATGACAACTTTTACTTCTCATTGTTGCAACGGGTCCACCTGTATCCTTATTTAAACGACTTGTTTTTCCCCTTCCCCTCCACAGATTATACAGATATCAAATACAGTGAAAGTAGGGGTTATACTGTGGGGGAGGGACATACAAAGCAACAAAGAAATAATCATATAAATGCGTTAGAAACAAATGCATGAAAGCTATTGTTTTTATTATGTGAATATATAATGAAGTTTTGGGTAAAGTCATCTATGTTACATTAAATTACAGAGATTAAAAAAGAGGAAAGGTACATTTGCACAAGATAATTCTCTCTGGGTTTCCATGGCTCATGTTTGTAATCCTATCTACTAAGGAGACTGACATCTGGATGATTATAGTTCTAGGTTAACCAGGGGAAAAAGGTTCATGAGACTGTACCAAGCAGGGTGATGAGTTCTGTTCTTGCAGCTTCTAAAGAAAGTATAAATAGAAGGGTCAGAGTTCTAGTTGACCTGAGCCAAGAAAGACCCTATTTCACAGAAAAACAGCAAAAAGGGCTTACAGTATGGCTCAAGCTGTAGAGTTGCCTGCCTTGCAAGTGTTAATCTGTAAATTCAAACCCCAGTCTATAAAAAATAAAGAGATAAGGTAAGTACAGATGAAGTAAAACATAAATAGGAATGGGACAATGTCATTATTTCTGATGGAAGCATAGAAATCCATTTTGTATATACCACATTTTCTGGATTCATTGCCGCATTTGTAAGGAAAAGGAAAGACTTAGAAAAAATTATATTAAGCAAAGCCAGGCCCAAAGAACCATAGATTGCTTAGTTTCCCTCATTTGTAATAATAGAATGTGCCTATGAGTTTACATATAAACCAATTAGATAGTAAAGATAAAAAAATTACACTTATATAAGACTCTAAATATTTACATAGTGAGACCAAAGGAGGTTATTCTTAGGAGAGGATCACAAGGACTCAATATTTATATACATATGATCGTATAAAATAATGCTTATTGAAATGAAGTTCAAGAATGGAAGCAACAGTTTTTTTATGTTACTATTGGTGGTTCTTTGATTTTCTGTTTTTTTCTCTTGTCCCTGTTTTTGATGTCTATACCCTTTTCTTATATGTAAGCTTAATCTGATTTGGGGAAGGGAAAGATTAAGCACAGAAGCCGTGGGGTAAAGGGTGAACTAATACAGCAGTGATACTGATACACTATGTTGGAAATCAGCCATATAACGAGGGGAAAATGAGAAAGGCAGTGACACCGTTAAAAAAAATGTACTCATTACCTGACTTGTGTAACTGTAACCTCTCTGTTACATCACCATTACAATAATTTTTTTTAAAGTATATAGGCTGCAGACATAGTAGATAGAGCACTTACCTCTCAGGTGGGAGACTATCTAACACCTCAGTATCAAAAATGTTCTAGTAAGATGCAAGTGGTAAGTAGTAAATTAGTAAGATGAGCACAATATTAATTTCATTCTAGAAAAACTTTGAAGAGTTTGTTGGAGTAATATTTTATCAGGTTAATTAAATTGAGAATATGTATAAGTTGTCTTGAGTAATAATATATTAAATGATTCGGCATCAAACTTCTCCACAGAAGCATTATTAAAATATGATAACACTTTTTGTCATGATAGAACAGTCTGTGTCATAGATGATTTATAAATAAACATTTACTCAATGTTATTAAGTTCCACATTTTTTGAATATGCTTTTGGTCTTTACCAACATGACAATAGCTCATTAAAACTTTTTGTTGATAGCTTTGGGTAGGGCTTTCATAATAGTTATGGTTTTATAAAATTTCATATTACACAGTGATAATTTCAAATACCCTTTGGCTTTCGATATTGTACTGTAGTGCATTTGTAATGAGAATCTTGAAAGAAAGTTAAAATTACAGTTTTAGTTCACATTTGATGTTAAAATTTTAGTCATAAACCATGTTTTATATTCGATGAGAATTGCATCAAAGTTCTGTTCTTTTTTACTTTTTGGTTGTTGGTGAACGATCCTGATTCCAGAATTTCTTATATTCTCTTCATTTATTATACATATGTAAACATTCATGCCTTATTGGCTCCAAGATGGATAAAGTCTTTCAGAAGTACAATTCAAGTTACACTAGCACAATTTTTAATTATATGTTTATGATCTTTAAATAGTTGTACAAAGGAGTTACCATTCATTAAATCAGTTTATGAATCTTGATTGAGCTACAGTTCAAGTTAAACTAATATAAATTTTAAATCATACATCAAATTTAAAGATAAAATGTAATGTATTTAACATTCAAAAATTTTAATTTTTAACCTAGTATTTTAATTTTTTTAATCTAGTATGAGTCTTCCAGGGTTTCTCATGAGGCTCAGTTTTTAAATATAGTTAAGACAAAGTAGGAAAACATTCATATTTATGTTGGAAGTGCTTTAAGAGGGAACATTTCTCATATGCCCCAACTATTAAATGCAGGTGACATGAACTCAAAAGGGATGTTGGGATTTTTTTCAGCCGAATGAAAAAAAGTAACTGAGTAAATGAGTCAAAGTACACTCTTACTTAAATACATATTTTTATTATCTTTGCTTACATATCAGTGGAATCTTTTGATAACTTGAAAACTTTTTAAATAAAATTATTATTTTAATTTGGTTTTCAAGTGATGTACATTAAGTGCTTTATATATTACAACTTCCTAGTGAATATAATCTACTGGAGCATTTTTGCCTCTAACAGAAACAATTCTCTTCTTGGATCTGGCTTTGTATGTAACACAAAGTACATCATTTTTCTCCCATGTGCACCTCATTTGTTGCAGTGTTTCTATTACAGTTCAAACTTTCATCTGATAAGTTGTAAGCCTGGAAGAACAGTTAGCAAGTATACTAATTGTACAATTTCCCTTTGGTGATAGAGAACCTATTCCCTAAGTTTACTGTTTGTTGATTTAATTGATGCTTGTTGCTTAATCAAAGATTTTGCCCACATGTACGTATTTGATAAGTTTGGCATCAAATGCAAGATCTATGAAATGTAAACAGTGTGTATCATATAAGGACCTTTAATCAAGTTAGTACTCTAGTTACTTGAAAATAGTGCAGCTGCATGAGTAGTAGTTTTCAGTTTGATCTGTTTTGCAGTGAACATTAGCAACTGTTGTCTTTACTCTGGTTTTGGTGGTTTTGTTGTTGTTTTGCATGCTATGTTAGGTTACTTCACCATTTTTTCCCCCTTCTTTTCTCTGCTTACTCTCCTCCTACTTCTCCTCCATTTTACCTTCCTCTACCTTTGTCTTCTTTTGGATTCTGCTTTCCTTCTTTGAATATCTTTCTTCTTGATTTTTCCAAATTTCATCATTCCAACTTTCTCTTTTATGGACTAATCTAAGTCAGACTGTACTAAGTGTATTGCTGAAGCAGCTGGAAATAATCTCCTAGATTTTGCATTCTTTGGATACCACATTTTGGGAAATATGGATTGTATGCTTTTGTAGGCAAGTTCTGTTCAGGATATTCCTTGCAGCCAGTCCCTCTCTGTTCTATTTGTGGAAGATGATAGTTCTTGAGGAATTCTGAATTTTGTTTTTGTTTGTGTTTTTCATTCCTCGATCCTCACATGCTAGGCAAGCATCCTGCCGCTGAACTATAACCCATCCCTATAAATTTTACTGCATATTTACTTCAAGATCCAGAATCTTATATGTTTTTAACAAATTTTAAATAGTTGTAAACATTGTTTTAATAGCCACAATAATAGTTATTGTTTGAAAATAAAACAGTAAATTTAAATGAATCCCTATCCATCAAGAATCCCTATCCATCCCAAATAGTCCTTAGAAAAGACATGGGTTAGAAAATGGGTTACAGGAAAAATACTGAGCTTTTTAAGAACCTAGAGTTAACTGCTATTGTACTCAGTGCAAAGAAACAAGGTAGGACTCATACATCTTTTTACCTTTTTTGTTGTTGTTATCACCTTACTTTTACACTTTATTAGGAGGTAGAATTTCTAAATAGGGGTGAAGTTAACTGCTTCTCTAGCAGTTTCCCCATAGAAATTATTAAAATTAAAAAGTACATAAAAAAGTTCTTATTGTTCTTTTGCCATCATTTCTCTCCTGTAATTAACTATTTTATTTGCAACTTTAGTAACTACAGCTATGTTTATCTTGAATTTTATGACATTTGAGAACTTACATGCTATACTATATGTCTGTGTGTATGGCAATATGTTTTATATTTCTTTTAATCATACAGATTTGTATCGCTTTGAGTGTTTGTTGCTAACTTTGTTGATTTTTTTTAATGCTTGTAGATAATAATGCAATGTTTATAAACTAGGACTAAAAATCATGTGGGAGAAATATACATTTGTGCAAGATTGTGAAATTAAACATATGATTTTATATGCTTATATATATGCTGAATATCATATACTCTATTTTTCCATATAGATTTTCTGATTATTGTAATGCTAATTTAATTTTGTATTTAGCAGAAATAAAATTTGAAATAGAATTAGGAAAAGTATTACATATTTTTACTTTCAACCTAATTTTTGGGTTTTTTTTTTTGTGTCTATACTTGTAAGTTTCCCATCATTTGTCTCCATCCCATTCCTGCAAATATTTTTCTTTGTATGAAGTTACGTACAGACTCACATTGTGTTTTTGTGTCACTTTTTTTTTTTTTTAAACAGTTACTCCGGCAGCATTCGAAGACACCATGGTTTTGAAGATAGGCTCTGTTGCTATGGCTCCTCAAGCTGACAATCCTCTTGGAAGGTCTGTCCTCAGAAAAGATATTTACCAGTAAGTTTATTTTCTTATGTTCAATCTTGCAAGTTTCATCCCGCAAGAAGTACAGTGATCAATAAAACTTGCTTAGTGTGGCCTGTAGAAATTCTTCTCATTCAGGATCTTTTGATATTTAAAACCAGGTTTTTCTGATTTCTTCAGTTGTGGGTTTTTAAATTCATTCAGACAAATCAAGTATTTCTGTGAAGTGTTGATGAATAACAGAGTGTAAGTACCAAGACGCCATAAAACTGAAGAAGCATAGTTTGGAAAATTTTAGAAGGCTTCAAATTTGACCAAAACTCTAATCACATAAGAAAATGAGGTTCTCTGTAGAACCACCACATCCTACCGTAGTCATGTTGTATCAAAGTGAAGCATTTTCTTAATTTAAGTGTAAGCCATTACTTGAAATATAGGACTATGGATGTCATATGGATCAAAGCTGTAAAGAAAAGCAAACTTCTAAGGAGAAATTTCATAGTAAACACTTTCTGTGAAAATGCCGTGCTCTGGATTTTGTCGTTGAGCATTTGCAAACCACACTAAGCATATATAGACAACTAAACTGGAGAACATGTGTAATCAACATGATAAAAATAATACATAATTGTACTGAAGTTGGCAATGATGGCAGACATAAAAGCAATGTTACAAATAATACCAAGTGAGAAAACTTACAGAAATACAGATGAACAAGTGTCTTCTTCTCCTTGCTGGTCTGTTTTTCACATGTTTTAGTCTCATTCTTTAAAAACTATATTCAAACATTTCTCCTGTAAATGTTACAGCTATGAAAATATTATAATTTTTATATATACTTACTACCTAGAAATGACATGTATCTTTACATTTTTAAATTTTTTTTAAATTTTTGCTGGTCATGGGGGCCTGAACTCTGGGCCTGGGCACTGTCCCTCAGCAATTCAGCTCAAGACTAGCACTCTACCACTTGAGCCACAGTGCTACTTCTGGCTTTTTCTGCTTATGTGGTGCTGGGGAATCGAACCCAGGGCCTCATGAATGCAAAGCAAGCAAGCACTCTACCACTGAGCTACCTTCCCAGCCCCTATTACATTTTTTAAAAATAGTCTGACTGTATATCTCAGCCTGGTCTCAATCTTGCAAAACACTTTCAATTGTCTGTATTTAGTCTCCCAAGTTCTTGGATTACCATGGCTACCATGCCTAGTTTCTATTTTTATTTGTATATTCAAAAATTATATTTCTAAAATGCTCTAATATGGGAGTTGACACTTTTTTCCCTTCAACTTATATATCTTCATCACTTCTTTATACCAATTTTTATGTATAACATATGGTATTCATGTTTAAATAATTTTTATTTAGCAAGGCTTAGATAAAATCTTAGAATGTCAGAGCTAAAGAAGTTTTTAGGAATCATCTAATGATTCCACCGTCTTTAGTATTTTGAAGATTATGTAACTGAGGATTCAAAAAGAGTAGTCGTCACTAGTCATTAGTGATACAGTTAACGTTACAGTTCTTATATCTGACATTAAGGCCAGGGGTATAGCTCACCTAATGAATGCTGAGTTCTGGGATGGAAGCTTTAGCACCACAGTAGGATTTAAGTAGTTATTAAGAGAACTAATTTGGATTTCATTTATAACATAAATTCTTAAAGTTTTCTAAAGTTCATTCTTTCACATGAATTTATTTTTTACATCTTAAGGAGTTAATGGTCTTTATATAATGTTTTACTTCTTATTTGGCATAAAAAATCTATATTAAAATATCTTGGGCTGGGGAAGGTGGCTCAGCTGTAGAGTGCTTGCCTTGGATGCATGTGGTCCTGGGTTTGATTCCTCAGCACCACATAAGCAGAAAAAGCTGGAAGTGGTGCTGTGGCTCAGGTGGTAGAACGCTAGCCTTGAGCTGAAGAGCTGAGGGACAGCGCCCAGGCCCAGAGTTCAGGCCCCATAACCAAAAAATAAATAAAATAAAATACCTTGCCACCATTAAAAAAAAAAAGCAAATCACTGATACATTTCCTTTCTTTCCCTATCCTTTGTACTTTGAGCTTTGTTAATTGTGTCATTATCATTATTATTGTTGTTGTTGTTTGTATCAGTCATTGGGCTTGAAGTCAGGATCTGAGTGCTGTCCTTAAGTGATTTCACTCAAGGCTAGCACTGTGCCACTTGAGCCCACCTCCACTTTTGGTGGTTAATTGGAGATAGAGTCTTTCAGACTTTCCTGCCTAGGCTGGCTTTCAATCCTCATATCTCAGCCTCCTGAGTAGCTAGGATTACAGATAAGAGGCATCAACACCTGGCTCAGTATCATTACCTTTTTTAAACTCAGCTTTTATTTTTGTGAGATAGTTTATAATAATTTTTTAAATTTTTTATTGTTTTTATAAAGGTCACATACGGAGAGGTTACTGCTGCATTACTCAAGAAAAGAGTATATTTCCTTTAGGACAATGCCATTCTTTCCTTTGATGTCTCCTAGTTTTTCTCTCTCATCCTCACCCACAAGTTGTATAATTCATTTTCAACAAAGTGTCCAGTGCGTACTTCTGCTGCTTTTCCCCCCCACCTTTTGTCCCTCCATTTCTGTGCTTTCCCTTATACTCCCAAAGACATAAATGAACAAACAGAACAAAAAGGAATGAAGACAAAAACAACAGAAAAGAAATTAAAAAAAAACTCTTGTTTTCATTAACTGGAGTTCATTTTGACAAATATTATTTTATATGATCAGATCTAATTATTCTTTTTTAAAAATTAATTTGTTGTTATTATAGAGGTGATATACAGAGGGATTACAATTACATAAGTCAAGTAATGAACTTATACATTTTTTCCCCTGTCTCTTTCTGACACTTCAGTTTTCTTTACATCTGCTTTCTTAACAACCTCTTTAATGTTAGTTTCCCTCAGGGTGTTTCTTTTGTTTTTGCCCATTTCTTCTTGGGTAAATCTATCAGCTGCCTAGGCTTAGGAAAAATTGAGTTTCAAGAATGTATAGTAACTTTGAAGGGCCCCTCTAGCCTAAGGTTAGGGATATGTGTTAGAATATCAAAATATAATCTTTAGCATCCTAGATGACATGCTCTGCCTACTAGTTTTCCCCTGAAAGTTCATGTTCCAGAATCATTTATAAAAACCTAAACTACAAAAGGTATTTACATAGGAATTCATCAAAGCAATTTAAAATTCTCATTGAAATTCTGGGTCATCAACATCAGAGGAAAAATATCAGGAAATAGAAACCACAACAAATGAAGTAATCAAAGTAGGAGTGGCTCAATTAGGATAAAAATGAATACATCAACTTATAAAGAACCTGTTTTCTAGGTTTTATTATTTTTATGATTGTATTTAGCCATAAAATCTCAGTGGATATTTTTTAAAAGGCCACCTTTGTATGAAATTTCCAAAGCAGATAGAACAATAGAGACAAGTATAAATTAGTGTTTCCTAGGGAATGAGAAGAAAGGAAAATGAGGAATCATACTAATGAGGGTGGAGTTTATTCTGGGCGATAAAAAATTTTCTAGAATTACATAGTAATAACAGTCAAAACTATCCTGAAAAGGAAATATGTCAGATGGCTCACATTTCTTGAGTTTTAAACTTAAGGCAAAGAAAAGGTAATGATGATAGTGTTGTATAGACATATAGAACAGTGAATAGATTTGAGTCAGAAATGGAGCATCTCATTTCCTATCAGTTTATTTTTGATAGAAGTGGCCAAAATAAATCAATAGTAAACTGTAGTCATTTCAATAAATACTACTTACATTGCCATATACCAAAAGCCTGAAATTTATAGAACAAACAGCAGTAAATATTTCTGACTTGGAATCCAATAATGGTTTCTTAAATATGACACCAAAACACACGGTACAAAGAAAAATTTAGATAAATAATACTTTGCCATATTTTTCTGCCTTTTCAAAAATGGGGAAATGCAAAAGAATAGGAGAAAATACTTGGAAATTATACATAATATAATATATTATATTATAATATATTATATAATATATAAATATATAATAGATAAAATCAGAATTGTGTCTAGAATATGCAGAGTAACAAATGGAAACAAGTCCCAACTTAAAACTGGGCTAAGGTATGAGCATGTTGGCTCATGTCTATTATCTCAGCTACTTAGGAAGTAGAAATAGGAAGATTGCAATTCCAGGCCTGCCCAGGCAAAAAGTTCCTCAGACCTTGTCTCAAAGAATAAGCCAAATGTGGTAGCTCAGGTCTATTTTTTCATTAATGTAAGTAATAGAAGGAGAATTGTGATCTTAGGCTGCTCTCAGGCAAAAGTATGAGGCTCTGTCTGTATAGAAGGACAAAATGTGTTTGGTTTGGCTCAAACCAAACTTGCAAGTTCAAAGCTCTGAGTTCAAACCCCAGTACTTGTGAAAAGTAAAAAAATAAATAAAAATAGGTGAGTTAGGCACATACCTGTGGTCCTGTTTCCTCAGGAGGCTGAATGAGAAGATCTCAGTTTGAAGTCACCCTAGGCAAATTCTACTTAACTATCATAAAGCTGACTGGAGACACGGTTCAAATGGTAGAGCACCAACTATGAGGAAACAAGTTGAATAAGAGCATAAGGCACAGAGGTCAAGCTCTATAACTGACAAAAATGTAAATAAATACATAAATAATAAGCAAATAGATAAAAGGGCAAAAGAATCTTACTAAATAACTGAAACATGAAAATGATCAATAAGAATATATAAAGATGTTTAAAATTGTTAGTAAGCAAAATGCAGTACTTTTTTAGCTCCTTTTTCTATGTGTATATATGTCTGTCTTAAATAATAGATTTCCTCTACTAGTGTTCGAACTCACTAATATATTGTAGTCATCCTCTGATTTGATCATATTCAAGAATGCTTGTTTTTGAACTGTTTAGATAGTATAGTGTCTAAAAGATTATGAAACACTAAACACTGCATTTTGTTGTGAACCAATTAAATATTTTTCACTATTAAAAAGCCTTCCTAAAGCTTGTCTTGTTTGGAG